TCTAGAGGCTTCATACTTAATGTTTACAGTCTAGAGGCTTCATACTTGCTGTTTTAATTTGGCCCAGATGCTGTTGATATTGTGGCAATAGAAAAGATTACAATTCAATTTACTATGACAAGAAAAGCATCCAATGCTCACATCTGAGTAGCTGCCAGCAAATATTAAGCGTTTCTGCTTTAAAGATTACCAAAAAAATTATTCGACTTTCAAAACCTACCGACTCGTTTTCTGTCGATTGACTAATAGATTGATGGACTTTGCAGCTCTGGTGTGCAAACACTTTGCATACATGTATTTAGCTCAAATAGAAGTCTGTGGTTTAAGTTGCACTGTGAGTCATTGACGGGTTTCAGTTGACACACTTAAGTTGTGAAACTCGGGTAGACCTGTAAGAAAATGTGTGATTTCTTTATTGCAAAACAACCCGAGCAAATGCTCTGAAGCATTTCTCAAAAGAGCAAATTGACGGCGTGTAAAAGCCCGAGATTAGGACTGAACGAGGAGCTCGTTGCTGGTGGCCCACTGCTCCATTCAGGGGCTGGTGTCCATCATTCCCAGCACACCCAGCAGGAGCTAGTTAGTTAGTGGGCAGAACACTGAACTAATTAGCCGCAAACACAGCTCACAAGCGATTAGTTTGACACAGTCGCAACCAAAAGGGAGGATTGAGTTTGGAGCTGCTGGATTGCATCATAGGCTGCTCACTCCTTTGTGTCTACACAATAGTATAGGTAGGTCAGAGTGTGTTCACAGCAACATGCATCACTAGGGAACACGATAATACTCACTGAACTGGAGACCATGAAGTGTTACAGCCAACATGTTTGATGTGCACAAAGAACTACGGACATATAGCTTTAGTATTAGTACTTGGAAGGTTTCAACAGTAGAGTTTAAAATCAAACTTGGACATGTAATGTCTTGTTAACATAACTAGTTGTGTGTGCGTATGATAGTACGGTCGTCTGTATGTGCGAACGGGCTGCTAACCACCATGCCATGGTCGGTTAGTAAGACCTGGCCTACTTGCTGAATGAGTCTGTAGTAGTGAGGTATCGGATGCTCTGTGAGTTCTGCCACAGAGAGAAAGGGAAGGACATGCGTACTTAAGGTCAAGAGGGGGTGGAGTGGACCACTACCAATGACGTCAGGCTTGTGGTGGAAGCTGCAAAGTGTCCTCAGCCAGGAAAGTGTGTGTGTGTGTGTGTGTGTGTGTGTGTGTGTGTGTGTGTGTGTGTGTGTGTGTGTGTGTGTGTGTGGCTCTAACCCTTGTTTATTTAACCTTTCCTTGTCTTTCACTCCGACTGCTTCGGTGAGTCAGTGTTTCCTGTTCCATCGGGATCCCGTTTCTTGTGTACAGAAGGATGTTCTTGGCACCAGGCGTCGGTAGTAATGCTGAAGGGACTAGAGAGTATATTTGTCGGAATCTGAGCTTAGTTATTAGGTTTAAAATGCACAAATGAGTAATGAAGTACAGTTGGGTCTGGTGCAGCTTTTGTAGGGTTTCCCATTGTTTGCTTTGGTTTAATCCCTCTCTGTTATCTGAGGTATTGAGAATCACATATGGTGTTTTTTAAAGCGGATCTCCCATTCACTCGGTGCTGTAGACTGTGACCGAAAACACGTACACCAACTGGAAACGGGTAGGAAGGGAGAGGACAGAAGCTTCTCTTTAAGCTGAGTAGGAAGTTTGTGTTTGAAGGAAATGGAGGCAGAAAAGCTGTTCTGTCTCATCGTACCAGGGAAGAAATAATATCTTTAGCGCCAAATTATTTCTGATTTGTTTCTCTCTTTCCTGTCCTCCTCCTCAGCATGCTCCTTTATAAGAGCATACACTTGGACACTATCAGAAACAAAGAAGATACAGAAATATGAGTCTCTAGAATAAAACACCTTGACTCTGATGATCAGTGTGTGTGTGGTGTATAATTGCTGCTGGGCCCCACAGTCAGGGAGGCCTTTGACAGACATCTGGAGGATCCACAACCCCCGAATGACCAAAAGATGGGTCGTACGAGCTACTGTTTTTAAGGAGAACTGAACTGAAAATGAAACTTATCTATACTTTCAAGAGGCTATAGATAAGTTTCACTCTCAGTTTAGTTTTGCATTGGAAAGGACTGTCTGACGGCAAGATATAGTGGCAAGAATATCTAGTCTACACTTAAACCGATATTGATTATTATCTTTTGGCCTTTCTTTCGGGTGCTAAAACACATTTTGCTGCTGTCCCGTCCACAGCAGAATAGTGCTTTGCCAAATTGTCTGTACTCCCGTCTGCTTCTCCAAAATGGAGGCGAGCTTACCGACATCCAGTGTAGTAATACGCTGACTCTGGATAAGTACCTCACGCACCCCCACTTCACACAATCCAAACTACCCTCTTAACTCAGCGAGATAATCGAAGCATTGATCGCGGTTCTAAAGTGCTTTGCTGAGATCACATCTGAACTTTCCATCCATTTCTTTCTCACTGTTGGAAGGTCTTCCATGCATGCACTGTGCATCAGACATTCTCATGCTCTCCACATCGACTTGCTTCCACACTGACCTGTGTTAAGTTGTTCATTAATCAACCTACACACGGCGCGTCGTGTCATCTTGTGATGTGCGCGGCTGCTAAAACGACCTTCCTGTGATGGATTATTGTTTACTGTTGCCTTGGGTTCCAGTAACCTCCTCCGACCCCAGTGAGGCTGTCATTCCTCCACCCTGAGCTCCAGTCGGTGTGCCCGTGACCCCGTAGTCTGGAGGGGATGAAGAGGAATCCACTTTCTCACTTTCCTAGCAACCTGGCCCTAAAGTCTCCCATCCAAACGCTTGTATCTCACGGTGTTAGTGTGGTTCAATCATACGAAGGCAGATAAGCGCTGGTAGTGTTCGTGGGTTTTGAGGTTGTGATTTGAAACTAGTCGGTGTTATCTGTGGTTTCAGAGAGAACGAGGCTGCTCAAGTTGTCTTTTGTCTTTCTTAGAACAAATGGAGAGATAAGGATGCAACACACTCGCTTCCTTCCTCTCTTCTGCTTCCTCTTCTCGTCCGTCTCTGCCTCTGGTGTCGATCGTATGCGCATGCCGCCGATAACTTTTTCAAATGAGCCTCTGGTTTGGCGAGCTTTCAGCATTCGGCCTCATCTTGTGCATTATTGACGGCGAGCATCTGTTCTTGGCCTCGGTGCCGTCCAGGTGTCGGCCAACACAGCCGAGTTGCGCTCCTCCAATGAAACCTCTTTAACGACACCAAAGTGGGCCATTTGTTTCCTCTGCCAACATGCTGAAGCAATACAATCTCCAGTAATGCTGTGGTCTCTGGCTGTTCTCCGGGTGATATTAGATTACAAGCTTGCAATTATTAATGATCATGTGTGCCTGTTTTTATTATAGCTTGTCTCAGTGAATATAACATCTTTTATGGGTTAAATGGAGCTGGTGGACAGGATCAGCAATAAAGTATAATAATATTTAAACCATGGTAATGTTTCGTCTTTCAATGGAGTCATATCGTGATTAAAATCATATATCGTGTAACTCCGTAGGAAACGATTGTGCTTATTGTGCATTACTAATATACCAAGACATGCATCCCAGATGTGTTTACTGTGTTGTGGCACACAGAGGAATGCAGAGGTCTCGTCTCTGATGCGGTTTCGCTTTCGCCGGCAGTTTAACTGCCGTCTCTGGCATTCCTGCCCGATCCGTCTCTCTCCAGTTCTTTGTCCTTGTCTGCTCTCTAAGGAGCCAGACTCTGGATCAGCCTGTTCCCTCGCTGTTAGACCTGAGAGGGCTTCAGCATGGAGACTCACTGGAGAGGTGGCTCGGTGCATTTGGTGAATGCTACACAGGTGGATACCGTTGCTGTCACCACCATTCCCTCCACCTCCGCCCTCTACCAGCACACACACAGTCCCTGGTTGCAGCCTGGCCATGCCGACACAGCGGTTTCACAGCGCTAACGGTGCTCTGGAGGGCCATTAGGAATATGCTCCATCCTGCAAGTTGCCTCAAAAGGCCAGTTATCCTCCTGCTGCTCCTCTGGGACGGTGTCTGAGAAATGGAGGCTGTTTGTGCGTCTGGTGCACTCTCCTTTGTGCTCTGGCTCTGTGAGAGTTATAGATACAGGCCGACATCCAAGAGCTTCTCCTCCCATCGCGCTGACTGCGGTGGATTGCCATGTTTCAACAGATTGTCCCCCACCATGCAGCGCACAGTGGAGAGATGAGCAGTTTGCTGTTTCCGTGTCATTTATCTATTTACATGGACGCCTCTCACATGTGCCTCTCTTTGCTCTTCCTGAACGCTAAAGAGATTTGTGTTTCCTCTTTCCATGACGGCACTCTGATGTCACAGTATCTCACCCTCCCTCTGCTCCTGTCAGATGAGAGGATTTAATAATAGAGATATTTAAAACGTCAACAGCTGTGTATTTTCAATGCACACTGACTAAACTCTGTGTCCTTTGTCCTTTTTTCAGCCTCATGAGTTTGACGAGTGCCGGCTGGACATCAGCGTGAACGACAGCGTGTGGTACCTCAGAGCACAAGACCTGGAGCACAGACACCAGTGGATTGACTCCGTTGAGCTGCACAGAGTAAGTCATGCACACTCCGAACAAACTGCAGCTCTCAAAAGAAACCAAATCCTCGTCACCTTTGCAACAAATGCATATCCTCTAACACCAGGTTGGATTTGTGTGTGTGTTTTAATTGTATGCATGTGTGTGTTTCTATCAGACTATCAGAGAGGGGAGGCGAGAGAAGGGAGGAATCCAGGGGACAATATTCATCCCTCCACCACTGGTGCGTTTGTTGGCAAGTTTGTAGGACTAACGGAGAGCTTCACTCGTCTGTAGCACAGTGCTCTGTAGTAGCAAGTGCGTGTTTGTGTTACTTAGTCCTTAAGTCCTGGATAAGATGCTTCACAACTGGTGCATGACTCATTTAAAGGCTTTTAACAGAGGGCACACTGAGCTGAGAGTTATCTTAAACCTTGGACTAACAAGTGGCTCAGGGTTTAGGCTAATCCCTTTTCATTGACGGACATTTAACACACTGACTCTGAGAAGGGTACCAGACTTGCTGAGAAAGCTTTTTAAAACACACAATCGAGAGATAAGCGTTTTATTGATTTTCTTTGGGAGTAACCGGTCCTGGAGGAGAGCAGGTTTGGACTATCGTCAGGGTTTCTTGCTTTGTTGTTTGCTTTAAATATCACTACAAAGTGAATTACACTGGGCGGAAAATACAAATTCAATCTTAAAGTGCTGTAAAGAGCAGAAGTAGCACTCATTGTATTCAGTCAGTTTAAAGGACAAAGGAAGTACTGTTGACTGAGTACAAGACAATGGAGGCAGTGGAGACCTATAAAACAGCATTATGTTCATATACACACAGCAACCAACCATCAAATATGTAAATATGTGTTTCTGGTGTTTATTGTTCATCCTAGCCTGAGAGGAAGTGGTTGCACAACTTCCACAAAGAGAAATGGATACTGATGTGTACGTGTGACTGTCTTAACCCAGAGTCTGTCTGACATGGATGAGTAGAAGGCAGCCACACCTTCAGCCTGTCTACCAAAACACACGCTTACTCGTGGTCCTTAGCTTGGGAAATCCTCCTTCTTCCCTCCTCACTGCTTGTCCCAGCACCGGGGAGCCACTGTGACTCATGCACACACACACACACACACCCTCCATCCCACTATGACTCACCACTTCTTCCTAGAAGGCTCTGCTTCCTTCTCGAACCCACATTACTCACAGCACTTAGAGGCCCAGTGTTTCCACGGAGATCCAAGCACACCACAGCGAACGCTAGAAGTTTGAGAGACGGTGAAACATCTCAAATAAGACGACACTCGTTGCCCGGATACCCTCTCTGTCAAAGGAAGCTGTGCTTGTTGTGCAGTGACATAAACTCTAGCAATGTAACGTCATCGTTTATGGCAAGTTTACAGCTTTAGTGCCCTGGATGAGTCTATTTCTGCTGAGGGAAGCACTTTCTTTTGTTTTCTTTCTCCTGTTGTCCAGAGTCAGTCATGCGAGTTCATTGTGCTTCAATCAGCCGGCACATAAACACACTCGTACAGTTTGCTCAGTGTTTGTGCTGCAGCAGCTTCACAACATGTGTGTACGTTTTACCTTGAGAGCAGACTGAGCCACTAACGCATCTTTCTTCTGGTTTATCATGGCTGCAACAAAAGCTTTGCTTGCTTCGATTATATATATTTATTTATATATATTTGTTCCTCATCAAAGAAGATTGAGCAGCCGTCATGCAGACTGAGAGAGAGTGCCGTCTGTGCTGATGCAGTCAGTAGTAGCAGTATGTTGGTTAAAGGGCAGGCAGCACTGACTCAAATCCATGCAAATGCAGGCGGAGTTACTTCCGGCTGTTGACCAACAGTAACCCCAGCCGCTTACTTATTGCTGGTCGCGTGCATTGCCGTCTTCTGCCCCCTGGTGGTGGACATCAGAAGTGTCTCTTAAAGGGGAACGCATCTCTTGTTTCCAGCAGTGTCGTTGACCCGTTCCTCTCTGCTGTTGTGTAACATGAGAGGGGAACCAGTGGGCTGTACAGGAAGTCAGATGATGTTTGGTGTTGTGTTGCCAGGGCCACAGAACATGTGTGTCATGTTCTGTGGCTTCTGAGGTCACAGGTTGGTGTGAAATGTTTCATTACAACATTAAAAATAATATGAAGGCTTTCTGGAAAGCTGTTTCTGTAGTTTGTAAGTGGATTCTAACCTTGTGTGCATATTTCAATGTAACACAAACACATCTCAAAATACTTGCTGAATGTGATATTCACGGGTAGAGAACATACTGATGAATTTTGATGTGATGTTTAAATCATCAGAATAGGTGCGACGCAACTCACAACCGCTGAATTCTGGCTGTTGTTTTGGGGCGAGCTGTTTTTCTCATGCATGGTATTTTGGTTTGATTACATTCTTGGTTTGAATTAATAATAATAATGTATTTTATTAAGTTAGTTTACTCTGTGATGACCTCGTTAACTGGTCTCCGTGTCCTGTGGGTTTCCTCGTAGGCTGATTCTGGTTACGGCTCAGAGTCCAGTCTGCGGAGACATGGCTCCATGATGTCCCTCACGTCGGCCACCAGCAGCTTCTCTGCCACATCCACGTCCTCCTTCAAGGTGAGTCCTCTGCTTAATGTTGACTCATCACGGTGCTGTTTGTCAGCACACACTTTTACTGGAATTGCCGGTTGATTTGTGGTCCGTGGAGGTGTAGAGAAAGGCCTAACCACTGTGTTGCTCTGCTGTTTCCCAAGAAGGGCCACAGCCTGAGAGAGAAGCTGGCGGAGATGGAGACCTTCAGAGGCATCTTGTGCAGACAGGTGGACACGCTTCAGAAGTACTTTGATGGCTGTTCAGATGCCGTGTCCAAGGACGAGCTGCAGAGGGATAAAAGTAAGACCCTCAGACACCGACGCTCCTTTAACCAAAGAGTCTGTTACTCTGCAGGTCTGGTTTCTGTGCTTTTAGACTATTTTATTGTGAAAAAAACCCTTTTCCTGCACTTTTCCGATAGCAGTCCAGTTATTTTGTAGCTCAAACGATCAATCGATTATTATTATAATAATTATTATTACTACAGTGTGACACGAAGAGATGTTTAAACAAGATGCAGTTAATGTAAACTTCTGTAAAACACTGGTATGTCTAAGAGAATATTTAGTTTGTGTTTTCCATATCTTATGAAAATATTTGTAGTTTATAAGAAACTTGCTCTGAACCTTGTGTGGAATGTGTGTGTGTGTGTGTGTGTCGTGACTCAGACAGCAGTTATCCTACAAACCCACTCACCCTCAGCCATCTTGGCTGGCTGAGCATGTGCAGCCTGCACTGGGCGCCTGTGGGTGACCACAGAGGATGAAGCTCTGCTTTTGTTCTCCTCATCTCTCTCTCTCGCTCTCTCTCTCTCTCTCTTTCTCTCTCCATTCTAAAGATGAAACCAGACCATTGTCATGTTGTCCAGCGCAGCAGAGCTCTGTCTGTCCCATGTGCCGGTTGGCTCTGGTTGTCTGTTGGCCTTTCCTCTCTGAGACTTGATTTCTCCTTTTATCTTTATCTCAGTCGTGGAGGATGATGAAGATGACTTCCCCAACACCCGGACAGATGGAGAGTTTCTGCACAACAACCACGGCAGCAAAGAAAAATGTGAGTGATGCAGAATTCTTCCTCCAAAAAGTATTTTTCTGTATCCTTGAATATTCATAACTATCAAGCTTTACGTTTAGACAAACAGCTCGAGGTATTATCTATAGAGACAGAACACAAAATAGACAAATGTCTCAATTGAAATAAGCATAACATGTAGACAATATTATATATAATCTTACCATTGTTTCCCTCTGACATGAACATATAGAATATTACGATATGAAGCGACCCAACACTCGGCACAAGTATCATTAGTTTCAGTCCCGTGCTCCTCCTTTGTGCAGTGTTCCAGACTGTGAGTCCCAAGGGAATCAATGGCATAGACTTTAAGGGGGAGGCCATCACGTTCAAGGCCACCACAGCTGGGATCCTGGCCACGCTGTCTCACTGCATCGACCTCATGGTGAAGAGAGAGGACAGCTGGCAGAAGAGAGTGGATAAGGTGGGTGTCATTTGGATCTGATTACGCATGATTCATCTGTATTACGCACGTTTTTATTTGTCAAACGTTAGTGATTTTTTCGTAGTTTATCTACGGTAGAGAAGGAAACATCTGCAAAAATAACAGATGCAGGAGAGAAAGTCGTTGGATTTGTTTAACGATTGTGTATTTTTGTGTTTGTAGGAGATGGAGAAGCGGCGCAGAATAGAGGACAGCTATAAATCCGCCCTGAATGAGTTGAAGAAAAAGTCTCACTTTGGAGGTCCAGATTATGAGGTGCAGTATAAAATCATCCACAACGCAGCATGAATCTGTGTGGTTGTGTTGAGAGCTCTTGAGGTAACGTTCCCGCTCCTCTCTGTGTGCAGGAGGGTCCAAACAGCCTCATCAATGAGGACGAGTTCTTCGATGCAGTTGAAGCCGCTCTCGACAGACAGGACAAGATAGAAGAACAGGTAAGCTAATAGATCACATGCAGTATCTACTTTAAGTTAACTTTGATGGTCGTATATATTAACATAATTCTGTGCTTGTTTGTGTCCAGTCTCACACGGAGAAGATAAGGATCCATCGATCCAGCCCGGTCCCTCCTGGAGACGTCTACTCCAGCATCGGCACACACAGGTTCTCCAACAAGGTAATTCAACCCTCCACCCTCTTAAACTGTCCACACCGACAAGCTAGCTCCATTCCACCTGTTCCACCTCCATTTCTTCACGTTCCTCAGTCTTTCATTTTTACATCTCACGCCCCTTTTGTCTCTTCCTCTCGCTCACATTTGTCCCCTCGGTTCTGACCTCCCCTGTAGCCTCATAGTCAGCCCTCCCCTGCTCCGATAGTCAGCACCCCTCACGACGTCCACAGATTCAGCGCAGAGGTAACTCGCTGTCGAGGCTCAGCCAGCCACCCGTTCCTCTTCCTGTCTCACCTGTCGAGACTAAACGCCATGTCTGCATGGCCGTTGAGTCGCCCGTAGGCTTCATCGTGGATCGACTGGAACTCACTGTTAGCAGCATGAAGCATGAGCTCCCGTTGTCTCTGTGTCCATTAATAACTGCTAATGTTTAAAGACCTGCTGCCAGGTCTGTTGAGTAACATAACAGTTCAAACACAGGCCTACTTTGTGTTCTCCTGTTAACGTTACTGCCTGATTTTCATTCGATTTAGTTACTTTATTTGTCTCTTGTCCACTAAAACTAGAGCGCGCAGGATAAATATCATGAGGCTGTGTTTATGCCATGCTGTGGAGCTGTCATTGTGTAATGGATGCTCTCTCTGTTACAGGTGGAGGAGATGGTGCAGAATCACATGACCTACTCCCTGCAGGATGTTGGTGGAGACGCCAACTGGCAGCTGGTTGTAGAAGAGGGAGAAATGAAGGTACGAGGAGGAGGATTAGTGGACATGTCATTCAGGTTTCTCTAACTGTAAATCACATTCATATGTAATACGGGCACTGAGTCACACACTACAGTAGGACATGATTTATATAAGTCTTCAAGGAAACTTTACCTGGAATGTACTATTGGATCGCAGTGTTTCCTGAACCTGAATTGAAATCTACAATATGTACACACATTAGAAAATTATTTTGCTTAACTTCTCGTGTGTGTGTGTGTGTGTGTGTGTGTGTGCGCAGGTGTACAGGAGAGAGGTGGAAGAGAACGGGATTGTTTTGGACCCGCTGAAGGCCACCCACTCCGTAAAGGGGGTGACCGGTCACGAGGTCTGCCACTACTTCTGGGACACGACGTACCGCAACGACTGGGAGAGTGAGTCCTTTACTCTGACGGGGTTTTCACACCTCACTCTATGTATCTCCACTAAAACACTCTTAAGTCTCTGTTAAGATTTAAGGAAACTTTATTAAATCCTCCCATGTTCTCTGCCTCTTTTAGCCACGATTGAAAACTTCAATGTTGTGGAGACGTTGTCGGACAACGCAACTATTGTATATCAAACGCACAAGGTAAGAGCTACAACATCACCTCACTTGTTCAACGGTGGAATAGATCTATTTGATTGCATGTGTGGAATCTGAAATGATGAGGAGGTGATGTGCGTTGCAGCGGGTGTGGCCGGCGTCTCAGAGGGACGTGTTGTACCTGTCGGCCATGAGAAAGATCTTGGCCAACAATGAGAACGACCCGGACACCTGGCTGGTCTGCAACTTCTCTGTGGATCATGACGACGCTCAGGTGAGCCACCGGGTCCATTTCAGACACCGTATGAGGAATTTATTGAGCTTCTGAACGATAATCATGCTTCTGCTTTTCTGTCCCACAGCCGTCCAGCCGGTGTGTCCGCGCCAAAATCAACATCGGCATAATCTGTCAGACGCTGGTCAGCCCACCAGAGGGCGACAAGGAGATCAGCAGAGACAACATCCTGTGTAAAATCACCTACGTAGCCAACGGTGTGTACCCAGCCGCTGTTGGATTCAGTAGAGATTAAACATCACGTTATCTGCAGCTCGTAAAAAGTCTTAAAAAAGCTTTGAACATTCTTCAGGAAAAGGCTTTTGAAAGTATCAAAAAGTCCTAAATTTACAAAATATGATATTATTATTTTAAGCATTTAGTGCCTGAACACAGACAAACTACAAACCTGAGTTTATATTAGAACTACAGTTTTTTTTTTTATTACTTTTTTGAAACATATTATACGACGACATTCTTTATGACTTTGACATATTAGACTTTGACTTTTTAGTACAGTATAAGTGTGCCATAACACCACATGTCATAGTATTTTATGTGATATAGTATAATATGATTATATCTATTTTTATTACATGGTTATAACATAAAAATGACTTTATATTACATACTATAACATTTTTATGACAGACCATACTAAGACCTTTTTATGACATTTTATCAAATACTATTCTATATTTTGACATTTTTATTACATTTCTATGGCATAAAAATGACCATAAGCACAAAAATCAGTTTTGACGATGATGACGAGCTCCTTATATCGAACCTTCTTGCTCAGTAGAGTTTGTTCTTGTGTCTGCAGTGAATCCAGGAGGCTGGGCTCCGGCCTCCGTGCTCCGGGCCGTGGCTAAGAGGGAGTACCCCAAGTTCCTCAAGCGCTTCACCTCCTACGTCCAGGAGAAGACTGCCGGCAAGCCCATCCTATTCTGAGGCTCACAGGTAGCTCTGAGTTTACTAACCACCTCTGCACCTTTTATTCAGTACGCACATCTGCAACATGATGATGTGAATCCTCTCCATCTTTCCAGTGTTGAGACATGTGGACAGAACTACACATGAGGCTTTGAGGACCCTCCATCTTCACACCGACTGCTGCTGTGACCAGTCGAGCTCCTCAGAGTGCTTTTTCCTCCTCCCAGTTTTTTTTTTTTTTTAGCTACAAGTGAGCTCCAGCACAAGAAGAGGGCTCACAATGGAGCCCACTGGTGGCCACATTCAAACACCTGTGAGAGACGTTCATAAGAAAGAATACTCCTAAACCTGGCAGAGATATTGTCATTTATCATTTCAAGAGAAATTGCTGCTTGTTTTCCCCCCTTCATTTTGATAAAATACTAATTAGCTTTTATCCAAAAGGAGATTATGTCCGGGTGTCATAAGAGTCTCCTGTAGTGAATGCTCCCAGCGGGGGGGCCCCCCCCCCCCCCATATCAGCAGCTCCTAGTGTCACAGCTGATGCCATCGTCACTGCTCGTGTAGAAGACTGACTCGTCATGTCTCTATTTCTTACAGATATATTAATATATAAATGTATGTATAAGAAGTTTGTAAAAAAGAAAAAGAAAAAAAAGAAACCTTTGCTAATAGACTGAAATATTTTATTCTTACCATTAATAGCTCCTATTTTGTGTTGATTTCTTTTCTTCTTCTTTTCATAATTAGTATTATTAGTGCTCGTTAAATATCGCCGATTGATTTAAAGTCCAGAGGGCCGTCATCGACTCGTGACCCCTATGATGTAAGACTTGACGTCTCTGGCTCCGCCCCTCTCATGAAGACGCCTCTCGTTGGCGCTGACGGAGGAACGAGCCGAGAGCAGTTCTTCGTATATTTAATGTACAAAAACAGAGCTCGATGTACATTGTTTTTGCTTGGCTTTATATTTGTGTCATTGTGAAATGTTGTCGTGTCACAGCACATACTTTGAATGTTTAATGGATTGTAAATAGCGTCACTAACATTTCTCCAGGAGGTCAGACTGTGTGTGACTTGAGCCCAGATGCCTTAGTGTTACAGGAGGATCTAGAGATGAAGGGGGCTGTTAGTGAGATCACTAGTAAGTGCCTCGTGGCGGAGTTTCCCTTTTCTTTATCTCCTCTATTTAATTTAAAACACGTCCCACCATATGTTTTACTGAATGAAGCAACAAGGTGACACTTCATTTGGGGTTTCCCACTGAAAAGCTAGTTCTAGTATTATTTCACCGCCTCCACATTTCTGATATTTGTAACGTTTGTTCTGCAGTTAAAGTACTGAAACCTTTGTTAACACAGATAAGTTCGTTCTTTGTTTCAGTCTAAACATGTTCTAATGCAAAGTCCAGAGTTTAGTCAGGATCGGTTCTGTTTATGTACTTAAGTTGTGTTCTCAACAGTGTACTTGTACTTCTTCATTAGATGTTTTACTTGCTCATCCTGTTGTTTAAACACATGGTGAACCGGTAACTCTGGACTTTGCAGTTCTACAGTTTACACAGGCTGAGATGGAAACTACCGTGAAACCTTTTTAAGAGGAAGTTGCACCATTTGGTTTCATTACCTTAATTTTCCAGACAATACTTTTGGAAGTACAGCATCAGTACTTGTACTTGAATACATGTCCCACCTGGGGACATGGTGTTCTTGGGTCTGCGATGACAGACTTGTAGCAGAATGATGTCGGTGAGAGTGAAGCCAGATGATGCTCAGCCTCTCGGCTAAGTGGAGAAGAAGCCAGGCTGAAGCTTGTTCACTTAAAGCAGACATTTATAATTCTAGTTAAAGTGTATATAGTTATATAATAAGACATTTGTGTAAATAATGCTGTGGGATCAACTTACACATGTACTGTGACCGCGTCGCTCTTCATCTGCACCGTTTTAACAGTGAAATAAATGAGTTTATCCTTCAGTTTGAATCCATTTGTTCATGTTGGACAACTCAGACAAGTTTAATTCATTTAAATATACTATTCATTGCTAATATACTATGTTATAACAATGTCATAGGATAGTATGCCATTACAAAAGCTTAAGTTAAAAAAAAGCTATAAAAATATATTTTATAATATACCGTGGAAAGAAATAATATATGACATGATATACTATATACACTATATAGTGACCTTTGACATACTATACTATGATTTTTTTCAACATACTTATAACCTTTTGACAAACAAAAATCATAAAAAATTCATAGTGTTTAAGTAAAGCATCAGTACCTTTTACTTAAATACATGTTGGGTCTGTGATGATGGACTTGGAGCAGAATGAAGTGGGTGAGAGTGAAGCCAGGTTGAAGCTCGTTCACCGAAAGAGTTTTCTAAAAACTAGTTCCAGTAACTGAATAGAATTAGAAATATTTCCATCGTAAAATAATGCTGTGATCGACTTACAAAAGTGACAAATACATTTATCCTCCATTTTTCCACATTTAGAGTCATTTCTTCAGGATACAGAAATTCAACAGACATTAAGATGGAACATAATTTAACTCTCTTCCAAGAAACAAAACGGAGCACAATCTGTTGAAATAAATAGCTTAAAATTAAATATTCTATCTAGAAAGTTCTCCTTGACAAACTAAGGCCACAACACAAGAACCTGCAGACTCAGCAATTCCTTTAACTTCCTCCAATCATTCCACATATGAAAGTATTAAATTAGTTAATATGGCTTTAAGTTTCCACTTCTCTTCGTCCTATAACACAAAGAAGCAACCTGCCTGTAACACGTGTTCAAACAAGTCACTTTGTGACAAAACCTGTTGGCAGCTTCTTCCTGGAGCCAGCAGCCTCAGTGGTTCTGCAGTACACACAGTATACACAGTCGCTTAAATCAGGAAAGCGTTGTGCAAGTGATATCGTACAACACTGATTCAGCACAGCAAACATTCAGCCGTTTTAAAACATGAGCAAATATCACCTTCAGCGGTAACAGCTGTTTGAAGATCTCGCTTCAAGCTTTTTAGATGAAAGAAACAATTGTTTTTCATTAAGAGGCACACAGGACAGCTGCATCATGGTGGGTGTTTACTAATCCAGACCACATGGATGATTCACAGTCTCCTCAAAGATCAGGTCCAACGACAAAAACACGACCGCAAAGTTCAGTTACAGGCGAATGGCACAAAGCGAGCACACGTTGGCTGTGGTCTTCATCGTGTGTTGGGTCTGGTTATCAGACCGCTGGTCTTCATCGTCTGGACGTCCTGGACCCACAGCCGTCCCTTCAGGAGTCATCAGGAGACCAGTCGATCTTCTCGGTTCTCACCGTTAAGTTGTCTTCCGTTTAGCGTTTGTTCGCCAACACGTCGATGTCACGCAGCCGACTCCGACTTTGCCGAAGGCGTTTCTGAGAGGTTTGTTGTGGATCTGGCAGCGAGAAAACAAGACAAAGTCAGCAATCAAAAACAATAAAACATGACGTCTACAATGATCTGAATATCCAACCTGTTGTGGGCCATGTGGCTCTTCACCAGGTGTCCGGCTGCCAGAGCGGCCATCAGGGAGAGCTCCCCCGCCAGCACGGTGGCACAGACCACCCGGGCCAGCTGACGGGCGTTCTCACCGGGCTCTCTGGAACTGGTACCTTGGACGCCGAGCATCTAAAAAAGACAAAGATGGATTCAGATATTTGGTGAAAGCTTTCAGCAAAACATCAGAAAAACAGGTTTCTCATCTCAGACTGTTTGAATCCAGCAGGTTGTTTCCTTACTCATGAAAATAAATAAAGAAATGTAACACAGTTATCTAAAACTACCTCGTACAGAAGTGAAATAACACGGTGTGTTGGTGGTGTTACCTGCAGACAGGCCTGCTGTGGCGCCAGGTTGGTGCCTCCCCCCACAGTGCCCAGCTCGATGGAGGGCATGGTGCAGCTGATGTACAGGTCCTCCCCCTCTGCACCAGCAAACTCCATCTGAGTGATGCAGTTGGAGCTCCCCACCGTCTGAGCCGGGTCCTGAAACGAGCAACACGCCCACCTCTAATGTAAAGACATATTTTCAAACATACTGCGAGTATTTGTGTCTTCATTCTGAACCGTCTGGATATGTAACATATATTCAGAGTAAACTGAAGGCTGACCTCTTACCTGTCCACAGGCGATGTAGATGGCTGCTACAATGTTGGCAGCGTGAGCATTAAAGCCTCCGATGCTGCCGGCCATCGCCGAGCCCACCAAGTTCTTGTTGATGTTCAGCTCCACCAGAGAAGCTGAGCTGCTTTTCAACACCTACACACACATTCATGGGTTTAGTAGGACATGTATGATTTAAGAAACGGTGAACAATAAACTGAGAGTTTGGTTTTCGTCGTCTTTACCTCCCTGACCACCTTGGCGGGGATGGTGGCTTCAGACACGGCAGACTTTCCCCGACCCAGGACCCAGTTAATGGCAGCAGACTTCTTGTCGGTGCAATAGTTGCCACTGACCGACAGCACCTCCACATCTGGATACTGCTGTCGGAGTCTGTGCAGAGCCTGCTCCGTCCCCTGAGGAGACACACACAGACAGGTTTACAGCAGACAAACAGACAGCAAAGTGAGCCGGCTGGAAACGGGAGCGAGAGTGGCATCGGTACCTTGGAGAGCATGTTCATGCCCATGGCGTCTCCTGTCTGAGACTGGAAGCGGATGTACAGGTTCCTCCCAGCTACGGCCACCATCAGCTTCTCCAAACGAGCAAACCTACCAAAAGCAAACATTAAATTCATCTGTGCGTCCTCCAGTACAGCAATAACACTGTGTAGTGAGACAAAAAGGAAACAGGGAAACCCTTCAATCATTCTACGAGTGTTTTCTGACCTGCTGGTCTGGTCGAAAGCCTCCTGGATCAAACTGAACCCATCAGAGGTCTCGAGCCACACTTTGACCTCAGCAGCCCGGCACGCCGAGGGCAGCCTCACCACAGGACCCCTCGTCATACTGTCAGCCAGGATCCTGCTGCTGCAACCTCCACTCAGCTGAACAGGGAATAATATAAGGGTTAGAACAGGACACACACACACACACACACACACACACACACACACACACACACAC